AATGAACACACCCTATACCCAACACAACCAAATGAATACACCCTGGCTCAAACTACACAGTCCCGGAGCCAGAGCGTGACAGTACCCCCCCCTAAAGGCGCGGACTCCGACCGCGCCTACACCCCAAACTAGGGGAGGGCTGGGTGGGTGTTGCTCCTCGGAGGCGGCTCCGGCTCCGGGCTTGACCACCACCCCACTTCACTCCCCCCGTAATGCCCCCGGTCCGATCTGACCCAGCTTGCTGGATCAGGACCTCCGACGCGCACCCCTGGCTTGGCGCGTGAGGTAGGAATGGACCGGAACTGGCAGACGATACGCACCCTTTGCCTGGTGCGTGGAGCCGGAACAGGCCTCACCAGGCTGAAGACTCGCATCCCTGGCTTGGTGCGAGTAGCAGGAATGGGCTGGATCAGGCTGACGGCTCGCACCCTTGGCTTGGTGCGAGTAGCAGGAATGGGCTGGATCAGGCTGACGGCTCGCACCCTTGGCTTGGTGCGAGTAGCAGGGACGAGCTGAACCAGGCTGACGACTCGCACCCTTGGCTTGGTGCGAGTAGCAGGAACGGGCTGGACCAGGCCGACGACTCGTACCCCTGGCTTGGTGCGAGTAGCAGGAACGGGCTGGACCAGGCTGACAACTCGCACCCTTGGCTTGGTGCGAGTGGCAGGAACAGGCCGGACCGGGCTGGCGACGCGCACCGTAAGTTTGGTGCGAGTGGCAGGAACAGGCCGGGTCGGGCTGGCGACGCGCACCGTAGACTTGGTGCGGGTGGCAGGAACAGGCCGGACCGGGCTGGCGACGCGCACCGTAGGTTTGGTGCGAGTGGCAGGAACAGGCCGGGTCGGGCTGGCGACGCGCACCGTAGACTTGGTGCGGGTGGCAGGAACAGGCCGGACCGGGCTGGCGACGCGCACCGTAGGTTTGGTGCGAGTGGCAGGAACAGGCCGGGTCGGGCTGGCGACGCGCACCGTAGACTTGGTGCGGGTGGCAGGAACAGGCCGGGCTGGGCTGGCGACGCACACCGTAGGTTTAGTGCGTGGAGCAGGAACAGGCCGGGCTGGGCTGGCGACGCACACCGTAGGTTTAGTGCGTGGAGCAGGAACAGGCCGGGCTGGGCTGGCGACGCACACCATAGGTCTGGTACGTGGAGCAGGAACAGGCCGGACAGGGCTGTCGACGCACACCGTAGGCTTTGTGCGTGGAGCAGGAACAGGCCGGGCTGGGCTGGCGACGCACACCGTGGACTTGGTGCGTGGAGTAGGAACAGGCCGGTCCATACTGGGAACACACACCACTGGCCTTAACCGGGGATCAGGAACGGGCCGGACCGGACTGGTAACACACCTCAGTCTCTCACGCCGTGCCTCCACTACTTCCCTCCCTCTACTCGCCAATGGCTCCCGTAATCTGGTAGCCTTCTCTCCACGTCTCCCTGTGGCAGCCTCCTGCTGCCCAGCCGCCCAAGCCATGTGCCCCCCCCAAAAAACTTTTTGGGGTTGCCTCTCGTCCTTCCGACGATGGCCCTGCTGACGCTGTTGCTCCTCTCTCGCCAGGGCCTTGATCCTCCCCCAAGGTCCCTTGCCCCCGAGCATGTCCTCCCAGGACCACGATTTGCCCACCTGGGCCATCGCCAGCCTCTCGATCTCCTTACCCGGCGCCTCCTCCCATGTCCAGTCTCCTTGCTCCTGGACACGCTGCTTGGTCCTTTTTTGGTGGGTTTTTCTGTCACGGCCGTCTACGGAAGGAGTGGACCAAAGCGCAGCGTTTGTAGCGAACATGACTTTATTAAAGTTAAAGTGCACGAACGAGAAAACAATAAACAATGACGGATAGTGAAGTCCTCAGTACACAGACTGAAACATGGAACAAAAACCCACAACCCTAAGGTGAACACTGACAGTATAAATATGGCTCCCAATCAGAGATAACGAGCCGACAGCTGACACTCGTTACCTCCGATTGGGAGTCACATGACGAGACAAGACACTACAACCACAACCAAACACAACCAAATGAACACACCCTATACCCAACACAACCAAATGAATACACCCTGGCTCAAACTACACAGTCCCGGAGCCAGAGCGTGACACCAACTGCACTTGTCATAAAAACTGATATATACAGCTGCAGGGTTTACACTGCTGTTTATAGACTAAACAAAATACACTGCTCAAAAAAATAAAGGGAACACTTAAACAACACAATGTAACTCCAAGTCAATCACACTTCTGTGAAATCAAACTGTCCACTTAGGAAGCAACACTGATTGACAATAAATTTCACATGCTGTTGTGCAAATGGAATAGACAACAGGTGGAAATTATAGGCAATTAGCAAGACACCCCCAATAAAGAAATGGTTCTGCAGGTGGTGACCACAGACCACTTCTCAGTTCCTATGCTTCCTGGCTGATGTTTTGGTCACTTTTGAATGCTGGCGGTGCTTTCACTCTAGAGGTAGCATGAGACGGAGTCTACAACCCACATAAGTGGCTCAGGTAGTGCAGCTCATCCAGGATGGCACATCAATGCGAGCTGTGGCAAGAAGGTTTGCTGTGTCTGTCAGCGTAGTGTCCAGAGCATGGAGGCGCTACCAGGAGACAGGCCAGTACATCAGGAGACGTGGAGGAGGCCGTAGGAGGGCAACAACCCAGCAGCAGGACCGCTACCTCCGCCTTTGTGCAAGGAGGAGCAGGAGGAGCACTGCCAGAGCCCTGCAAAATGACCTCCAGCAGGCCACAAATGTGCATGTGTCTGCTCAAATGGTCAGAAACAGACTCCATGAGGGTGGTATGAGGGCCCGACGTCCACAGGTGGGGGTTGTGCTTACAGCCCAACACCGTGCAGGACGTTTGGCATTTGCCAGAGAACACCAAGATTGGCAAATTCGCCACTAGCGCCCTGTGCTCTTCACAGATTAAAGCAGGTTCACACTGAGCACATGTGACAGATGTGACAGAGTCTGGAGACGCCGTGGAGAACGTTCTGCTGCCTGCAACATCCTCCAGCATGACCGGTTTGGCGGTGGGTCAGTCATGGTGTGGGGTGGCATTTCTTTGGGGGTCCGCACAGCCCTCCATGTGCTCGCCAGAGGTAGCCTGACTGCCATTAGGTACCGAGATGAGATCCTCAGACCCCTTGTGAGACCATATGCTGGTGCGGTTGGCCCTGGGTTCCTCATAATGCAAGACAATGCTAGATCTCATGTGGCTGGAGTGTGTCAGCAGTTCCTGCAAGAGGAAGGCATTGATGCTATGGACTGGCCCGCCCATTCCCCAGACCTGAGTCCAATTGAGCACATCTGGGACATCATGTCTCGCTCCATCCACCAACGCCACGTTGCACCACAGACTGTCCAGGAGTTGGCGGATGCTTTAGTCCAGGTCTGGGAGGAGATCCCTCAGGAGACCATCCGCCACATCATCAGGAGCATGCCCAGGCGTTGTAGGGAGGTCATACAGGCACGTGGAGGCCACACACACTACTGAGCCTCATTTTGACTTGTTTTAAGGACATTACATCAAAGTTGGATCAGCCTGTAGTGTGGTTTTCCACTTTAATTTTGAGGGTGACTCCAAATCCAGACCTCCATGGGTTGATACATTTGATTTCCATTGATAATTTTTGTGTGATTTTGTTGTCAGCACATTCAACTATGTAAAGAAAAAAGTATTTAATAAGATTATTTCATTCATTCAGATCTAGGATGTGTTGTTTAAGTGTTCCCTTTATTTTTTTGAGCAGTGTATATTTCCAGCCTATTTTTAATTCAGAAATGCTTCTATATCCCCAGACCTGCAGGCTACTGGAGCAGAGGCTAGTCAAGGACACCATCCAAATGGCTGCTCATCCGTTCAAACTCATTGTACCTTGTAGATATAGGGGCAGAAAGACACGGTCAATGCAACAAAATCACCAGAGGTTGTCTTGGCCATACCTTGCACAATAGTTTGGAGGGCAATTAATACAATCAAATGTGGCCTCCCTAGTGGTGCAGCGGTCTAAGGCACTGCATCGCGGTGTTGCGGCATCACTACAGCCTGGGGTTCTATCCCAGCGGTGACCAGGAGTCCCATAGGGCAGCGCACAATTGGCCCAGCGTCGTCCGGGTTAGGCATATGCCACACCATTTCACCTCTATATTGTATTTTAATCATTCAAATAAGACAACTATACTCAGCTTTTAAGTATTATTTACTAAAGAATTTCTAAATAAAACTGAACAAATGGATTTTAACACACTTGAGTGAAACCCTATGACATAATCTTCTACCGCCCCTTTTCTAAAAACATGTCAACTGTAGCTTTTATTTCCCTTTATAGTTTATTCGCCTAAGCATGACCTTCATCCACATACCAATTGTTAAGTGAGCTCAGTTGTTTCTGGCAAGCGCAAGTCAGTATCACAAACAGAAGCACGTAGCTGAGCCGTTTTGTCACGGGCGGCCCGGTAAATCTGCACTGACTGACTAGGCAGTACGCAGGCGTTCTGCGATGTCACCTTATATATGAGGAGAGTGCGAATGATTGAAGGTGTCTAGCAGTTTAGGAATTCGTTTCTTACAAACCGCCAATGGTGACATCAGCGCATACCAAGGACGCATGCCAGGCGTGACGATTGACCAGACACCTTGGGTCGTCACTAGTTACAACAGCCACAAAGTCATAAACCCCCTATTTCTGCATTTATCTTCTTAAAATCTGATTTTAAACATAATCCTGACCTTAACACTAACATTAACCACATTGCTAACCTTATGTCACACCCTAACCTTAAATTAAAACCAAAAAGCAAATTTTTGTTTTCATGAATTTTCCCCAATTTAGCCAATTTTGACTTTGTTGCTGTGGTAACTAGTGGAAACCACCTGCACGGGATGGAAATGGGTGCCACTTGAATAGCGGGAACATGATCTCACTTCTGTTTTTAGAGGTCTCAATTCCAAGCGCGTAGGCTATATAAAAGATGATGGATCTCAGCCTCACTCAGAACAGAATTGACACTGACCACTTTGGGAGTTGAGCCACTGGACTACTTCTCATCACACAGACAGACTAGACATGGGACTGAATAGCGTTGAAAAGCTGGTAGGTTGTTTCTCGCGTTTGTCATCAGGATTCACATAATCCATGATTTCCTCTGGGTTTGTGCTGTCTGAATGTTGTTGCTGACAGTATTAGACTCTGGTTGATAGCCTTGTGACACTAAGGAGAGTGTCACTGCATTCTGAGATGAGTTTGAGAAAGGTTTCTTTCTCGGCTATATTGGCTATATAAAGCCGAATTGGAATCCAAGTAGGAGTCTCTCTTGACAGCGGTTAAGTGCTGAGCAATTAACCGACATTTCAGTTATTTTTCGGGTTTAAACAACTAATTGACCTACTTCAGTTTAATTATTAGAATTTAATTTCGTTCTATTCTTTTCTGCTAGCTCAATGCACACATTGCACAGTAAAAAAAAAAGGATAAATCATATCAGGCCCGAACTGTGCGATGTAGTAGGGAGTTGTAGTTTCCAAAAGGCAACATTCTATAAAGTTTAATGCAGAAAACATGGTAATTAAATACAATGAACATAATCCATTGCCCGCCTACTTTTCCAGTCTGTGTTTCTTTTATGCCTGTAAAGTAGACAGAAGAATGCATGATCAAGAGCAGTTGCTCTAGAGGTATCTACCTGAAAATACATGATCTAAGTGATTGATAGTTGGTATTCAGCAGTCATAAAAGTATGCCTTATTTACTTTGAAGAACTACTAAAATTGTGATTTTGTCAGACAGCATAGGCAGCAGCTCTATAGAAATGAGATGATGACTTGAAATGAAATAATAAAGTAATAAATAAAAAAACGTAATATTGTAGTGTTTTTTAGGTTTAAAAATGCGTATGAAGTTGGTAATGTCGTATTTTCCCTCGTGAAAAATGTATCAACCCCTACAAAAATGTCCATTAATTATAATCCACATAATAATTCACATTTCCTGTTTCTGCAGGATTATTTTCCTGCTATAGCAAACTGGCTCTAATTAAGATCCTACAATTAACAGAAAATGATGGTTTTCATTTGGTCCAAAATAATCCCGCAGTTGGTAGCCTGCCCAGTCACCTAACAGAGTTCACTTTGATTAGTCTGTAAATGAGTTGGACACACTCCTCTATCACCAACCTCAATCCTTCATTGTTCCTTGATTAAGACAGAAACATCTCACAAAGGGAAGGCTTTGGTATGGATGGCTACCTGTCCTCCATTCTGCTTTTTCCTCTCTTGGAATAGAAAGTACTGCTTAGGAGGATGGTCATCTCATCTCCAATCTGTTTTCTCTCCTAGGTCACTGGTAAGAGGTGTGAGGGACAGGAGGCAGGCGAGCACTTGTCGGAGGCGTTTTCAAAGAGTGTGTACGAGGCAGCCATCAACCAGGAGAAACAGGATGCTCGGAGGTCACACAAAGACCTCATCCCAGAGGAGAATGAGAACAGAACTCAGGAGGAGATCACAGTTGTCAATCTCAATGTGACTTTTTACAGCACCTCATATGCTTTGTACTCAATTAGAAACACTGAACATTCTACTCACCTTCCAAATGCTTGATTGCTTCCGAGCCATATCATCCATTTAAAATGGACCTTCTGTATACCTTGTTCCTTTTCAGACAGACAAATCAGGCCGGGTGAAGATAGAGACCGTGGACGACCTTTTCAACATCTTGAAACTGAGGAAGAGGAGGAGGGAGAGGAAGGTGCAGAACAAGAAAGTACCTGAGCCAGAGATCATTGTACGTTCCACCACTTCCTGCTCACAATCTCTCTCTCCCACTTGCTTAAAGTTCCTGACCATAATCAAGAAGAGGGAATTCAATACAAAAGGCCAACAACAGATTAAAACAAGTCAAGTCAAACTACACTAAACTAATGTAAAAACAAGTCTCTTTTCGTTGTCACACAGCCCGACACAGTGGATCAAGACACGTTCCTGAAAGCAGCTATGGAGAATAAGCTGCCTGTGATTGAGAAGTACCTCTCAGATGGAGGTGACCCCAACGTCAGTGATTATGTGAGTACCGCATCATGTCTCTCTTATGATGATACATGGACTGCCATCTAAGTCAGTCTTTTGACATGCCAGAAGCTACATTGATTGAGATACTACATTTTTAGTTACAGGCAGCCGAGGGCCAATATAGCCCTAGTCTCACAATGCCATTGGACACTGTTATGTGAATTATTTAACAAACTATTTTAGTGTCTCTGTGCGTCTCCCAAAAGGTTGTAAGTCTTTTGGGATTTAAGTAACGGCCAGAGTCCCGGTCTGCATAGTCAGAGATATTTATTCATTGAGAATTCTGCCATCACAATTTCAGAGTCCATCTTTTATACTCATACGTCATACAAAAAGAAATCCCTCCCCTCTGTAGGCGGGCTGTAGTTTTCCACTCTAAAACTGCTCTACTGACCTTCAGTTCACACACACACACATATACACACATTCATACACACATACATACACACACACACATATCCTACTCCCTGCATTACTCAGTTATTGCCGTTCTCACAATATTCTGCACCATGTTTTCATAACAGTTTCTCCCCTCCCTAAATTGGGAGGCCTCTTTATCTTAGTTTCTCAGTTGTCTTTGTTGTCTGGCCTAACTCTTACTCACATTGCTAAATAGTGGCTCAATGCCATAGCCTTTACTGGTCCTACACTCACACATTTCTAACACATTATACACAGTTTCAGGGTGTAATAATTAGTCATTAATAATTAATCTATCAGACACGAAACAGGCAGCCGAGGGCCAATATAGCCCTAGTCTCACGATGCCATAGGACAAGTAACAGCCAGCCGAGGGCCAATATAGCCCTAGTCTCACGATGCCATAGGACACGAAACAGGCAGCCGAGGGCCAATATATCCCTAGTCTCACGATGCCATAGGACAAGTAACAGGCAGCCGAGGGCCAATATAGCCCTAGTCTCACGATGCCATAGGACACGTAACAGGCAGCCGAGGGCCAATATAGCCCTAGTCTCACGATGCCATAGGACACGTAACAGGCAGCCGAGGGCCAATATAGCCCTAGTCTCACGATGCCATAGGACAAGTAACAGGCAGCCGAGGGCCAATATAGCCCTAGTCTCACGATGCCATAGGACACGTAACAGGCAGCCGAGGGCCAATATAGCCCTAGTCTCACGATGCCATAGGACAAGTAACAGGCAGCCGAGGGCCAATATAGCCCTAGTCTCACGATGCCATAGGACACGAAACAGGCAGCCGAGGGCCAATATAGCCCTAGTCTCACGATGCCATAGGACAAGTAACAGGCAGCCGAGGGCCAATATAGCCCTAGTCTCACGATGCCATAGGACACGTAACAGGCAGCCGAGGGCCAATATAGCCCTAGTCTCACGATGCCATAGGACACGTAACAGGCAGCCGAGGGCCAATATAGCCCTAGTCTCACGATGCCATAGGACAAGTAACAGGCAGCCGAGGGCCAATATAGCCCTAGTCTCACGATGCCATAGGACACGTAACAGGCAGCCGAGGGCCAATATAGCCCTAGTCTCACGATGCCATAGGACAAGTAACAGGCAGCCGAGGGCCAATATAGCCCTAGTCTCACGATGCCATAGGACAAGTAACAGGCAGCCGAGGGCCAATATAGCCCTAGTCTCACGATGCCATAGGACAAGTTACAGGCAGCTGAGGGCCAATATAGCCCTAGTCTCACGATGCCATAGGACAAGTAACAGGCAGCCGAGGGCCAATATAGCCCTAGTCTCACGATGCCATAGGACACGTAACAGGCAGCAGAGGGCCAATATAGCCCTAGTCTCACGATGCCATAGGACAAGTAACAGGCAGCCGAGGGCCAATATAGCCCTAGTCTCACGATGCCATAGGACACGTAACAGGCAGCCGAGGGCCAATATAGCCCTAGTCTCACGATGCCATAGGACAAGTAACAGGCAGCCGAGGGCCAATATAGCCCTAGTCTCACGATGCCATAGGACAAGTAACAGGCAGCCGAGGGCCAATATAGCCCTAGTCTCACGATGCCATAGGACAAGTTACAGGCAGCTGAGGGCCAATATAGCCCTAGTCTCACGATGCCATAGGACAAGTAACAGGCAGCCGAGGGCCAATATAGCCCTAGTCTCACGATGCCATAGGACACGTAACAGGAAGCCAAATGAATGTGTCTACCCTCCCTGTCTTTTACAGTTCCTAAAGACAGCGCTACACAAAGCCTCATCTAAGGGCCATGTGGAGACTGTGAAGAAACTGCTGGAGGCTGGGGCTTCTATTGAGAAGAAAGATAGAGTAAGTTCTCTCTCTGTTACACTTACTCATCAGAGCTCTATTTACATACATGGGAAAAGGTTCGGAATGGATGGGAACTGTCATCATCCTCTGTTTGTATTTCCCACTCCCTCCAGTTGGACGCCACAGCAGTACACTGGGCCTGCAGGGGAGGCAGCCTGCCTACTCTGGAGCTGCTACTCAATGAAGGAGGGAGGTTCAATTCCAGAGACAAGGTACAGCACTGAGACAGAGAGCCCTTAAACCCCATTTGTGATGCCCAACATTAGAAACATATGCTTTGTGATCTGACTTCCTACTATCTCTGGTTTCTCTCAGCTGTGCAGCACTCCTCTCCATGTGGCAGTGAGGACTGGACATTATGAATGTGCTGAGCACCTCATCCACTGTGGAGCAGACGTCAACGCTAAAGACAGAGTAAGACATACAAACCCTAATATGACAGAATACAACCATTAAACTCATCTCAGAGCGGTTTTACTAACCCACCACTATGGTATAGTTGGTTGTGTTGCTAATAACTGTTTCTGTCCAGGATGGAGACACACCCATACACGATGCTGTGAGGATAAACCGATTCAAAATGATCAGGCTGCTGATGATGTATGGAGCCAGTCTTAAAACTAAGAACAGCGTTAGTACTCTATAATCATCCAATTCTCATCTTTTCACATTCATTCAGCATATTCCAGTTAGATTGGTATGATTGTTAGTGGCATTGTGTGAGCATAGCACCCCCTACAGTGCATTGATGAATATTGATGTTTGATACGGTAAGGTGATCTATTTTTCAAATGCTTAGTTTATTTGAATGTTTGTGTTTTTTTCCATGCAGGAAGGCAAGTCCCCTAGTGAGAATCTTCTGGCATGGCAGAGTGGTGCTAAAAACATCCTGTGTAACGTCAACAATGACAAATCTGTCAAGTAGAGCAATGACTGAGGTCATTCAGATGATCATTAATATGTGATACTGATCGATTTGTTGAACGCTGATATTGCTGGCCAATGTTAGGGCTGTAGCTTCCATCCATTTTGATGTTGTGTTGAAGTTGTCTATTGAGATTCTGGGGAGATGTATGTGATCGTTGGTTAGTGAGCAAGACAAATGTAACGGCATGATACTGTGGGACTTTAAAAAGTGACGTGTTTACAGTACTACAGTATACTTTGAACATTCAAAAGAGTTTTAACCAAAACTAGTTTCTGGTTACATTCACCTGTTTAAACACACAGACAGACGTGATAGCAGTGAGCTGGTAAGGAAAGTTGCTGTTGGTTAAGAGGATGTTTTGAATAGGAAATCGTTTGAGTAATATTTTTGATGTTTTTTTAGAAGAGACTCTGGAATGCAAAGCGTCAAGAGACCTCACTGAGTTTTGTATTTATTGTAAAGTTCATCTGTATATTTTGCTTGTTATTTATCGTTTAATTCCATAAACCAATCTGATGTTTTAAAATACTTTTTTTGTGAGCCATTGTAAATATTTTTGTTGTTTGAGTCTCTGTAAACAAACAATGTAGCCTATAGCTTCAAAATATTAAACTGGGTGGTCCTTGCATTCATAGCGCCTCTGAATTTGAGATTGGATAGGTTTACTTTGGCTTCTCCAGCCCCATACCTCAGCTTTATAGCAAATCAAGTGAAGGGGCTGCTGTTTGGCTGAAACAGGATTGTGTCTTTAAAAACAGAAAAAGAAAGATCGGTGTTGAGGCAGAGATCAAAGTAACTCATAGGAAAGTTGGGCGTATAGATAATATCCTAGGGAGGCAGAGGACAAGAGGATCCAGGAGATGAGGAAGTTTGCCTACAACTGCGAGCAAGCAACACAAACAGCAAACCCAAGTGGTAAAAGAACCCAGCTAGCACATTTGGTTCGTTGGAAGTTGTGAAAACGTACTTTGGTTCTAGGAACGAAGTCATAGTTTTCTTGACCGGTAAAACAAACATTTTTTAAATGTTCTGAGAACGGAAGTGAACATTTTGCCTGTTCTGGGAACTTTGATTTTTAGGTTGCAGGGAGGTTCTGAGAACGTTTTACTATGGTACCCTGAAAGTTTTCCTGGGAGGTTTTATTAACGGTCTGAGAACTGAAAATTAGAGGTTATTTGAAGGTAATTAAATAAAATTCTGAGAACATATGTCAATAAGATATTTAATAACACTGCTAGTTTGGGTTAACCGTTATGAACTCCAAGCATAGATAGGACACATGGAAATTAATTTGCTTAGGCATTAATCATGCAAACAAATTACTTTTTTTATTGTGGCACGGCATCAGTGAGATTCAAACCCATGATCTTCTGTTCTCTATCCATGGAATTAGTCCACTGCATGCCATGTTTTTTTAACTCATACAAATCTGTTAATTTTTGTCTATTCAAACAGACCCCATTTCACAGGAAACAAGCACTCATTAAGATCAGGTATGGCCAATTAGTGGGCGCAGCCAACACAACAGAACAAACTTAACAAGACAGAGGTTAGAGCATAGAGATAGACAGAGGACTCATCTTTGTATCTGTGCCATTATAGCGTCTGTGACAGCATGGGCAGTGCCTTTGAGATAATCTTCATTTTGAAGTAGTCAATTTTCTTCTTGATGATTGGCTGATCCATCCTGATGACCCGGTTGGACACGACTCCACCAATGAAGTTGAAAGTCCCACCCAGTTGTGGGGATCTAGATGTGATGCCTAGCTTAGAAAGAATGCATTAATGATTAAACATAATAGGTTTGTACTGTACTGATATAAATTGTTTAACATAACAAGCTGTGATTCATGTGAGGAATGTTAGGGAGTAGGGTGAGACAGACTTGTATTTCTCACAGACACATACACACTGCCTCTTTGTTAAACCGCGCTCAAGGACGTGTACTGCAAAAAGGTGCTGACTCTACAGGTTGTGATGATAACAACTTATGCCTGGCAACAGTGTGCAACAGTGAAGCGCCAAGGGGCTGGGACCAGCCTGTGCGCCAACTATTGGCTGAGTAAGTCTAAACCACGCTCAGTCTCTACTCTGATTGGCCAGCAGGGAGCGGGAACTATCTCTGTCAGAGTATTTGAAGAAGAACTTAGAACAATGGATCAGTTCTCTGAGTGCCCTGCGTGGTATTTCAGTGGACCCGTATATACGAACATCATATTTACCATTGAAGTGGTTTGCATTAATTAAAATACTAGTCTATTTTAGAAAACGTGTATTGACCTCTTTTGTTCCTAATACCAGATTTGAATTGACGCAACTTAACACAGTTGACTACATTAAAATGGTGGAAGCCCTCAATGGGAGACCTGCAGTGGCGATTTTAGCATGTACTGTAAATCTTGGTGGGGAAAACTCAAACTTTTTTGGGGGGATGCATGCCAGGAAAGCCACAACACAACACAACACCTAACAATACATTAATTGCACTATAACGGTGACAAACAGTGCCCAAAAACTGTTAGGGCCTACATAAAGCTGTCCCAACAGCAGAGCTTTCTTTTCAGCACCATGGAGTGAATCCTTACCAATGCTACACCTGGCTATCAGCGGAGCCTTGTCTGGCAGCAGAACAGTTCATTCAGCCTCATTTACTGCCTTTAAAAAACATAGCTGATATGGCTGACTTGCTTAAACAAATGTGGTTTCTACTGACAATTGAGATGTACAAACTAAGGCATAAGGGGACGACTAGCGGATAAGAGGCAATCTGTAATTTCGATTAAGATATTCATGAGCGAGCTAGGACGGACGTAGTCAATATAACTATTTGTTCAGCACTTTTGAAATGTACAGCGACAGAATTCAGAACATGGGCTGTTCTTACAGTGTTCTCCCTGTACACCAAGTCAGAACAGTAGGATAAATAAAGGGGGCATATAAGCAGCCAATGAAAGCTCTCACAATATTCAATGATTACATTTCTCTAAAACAGGTTATAGGCTACAGGTGCACCACCAAGTCAGAACAGTAGGCAAAATTAAGAGGTGAAAATATACCAAATTATTAGGGTGAGGCACATGGACTACTAACAGCTTACTACACAACATACACTAAGTACTACTTTCTTAGCTACAGTATACATATCTCCCTGGCATATTTATGCAGCAGCATACAATACATTTTTGGACTCACCTTGTTGTGCTGTGCTCACTTGAACAGGAAGGTGGTGCGGCGGTCCTTCTTGTGGGCAAATTTTGTCATTAAACTTTGTCATCAAAGTCCGGCATTCTCTGGATTTATGGTGCTTTCAAGACAACAAGGCAGTTATGGTCAATTAACTAATCACATAATCTTGATGTGATTGGCCTGACTGAAACATGGCTTAAGCCTGATGAATTTACTGTGTTAAATGAGGCCTCTCCTCCTGGTTACACTAGTGAACATATCCCCCGCGCATCCTGCAAAGGCGGAGGTGTTGCTAACATTTACGATAGCAAATGTCAATTTACCCCCCAAAAAATGACTGCGTTTCCATCTCTTGAGCTTCTAGTCATGAAATCTATACAGCCTACTCAATCACTTTTTATAGCTACTGTTTACAGGCCTCCTGGGCCGTAGACAGAGTTCCTCACTGAGTTCCCTGAATTCCTATTGGACCTTGTAGTCATGGCAGATAATATTCCAATTTTTGGTGACTTTAATATTCACATGGAAAAGTTCACAGACCCACTCCAAAAGGCTTTCGGAGCAATCATCGACTCATTGGGTTTTGTCCAAATATCTCCGGACCTACTCATTGCCACAGTCATACCCTGGATCTAATTTTGTCCCATGGAATAAATATTGTGGATCTAAATGTTTTTCCTCATAACCCTCGACTATCGGACCACCATCTTATTACGTTTGCAATCGCAACAAATAATCTACACAGACCCCAACCAAGGACCATCAAAAGCTGTGCTATAAATTCTCGGACAACCCAAAGATTCCTAGAGGCCCTTCCAGACTCCCTCCACCTACTCAAGGACGTCAGAGTACAAAAATCAGTTAACAACCTAACTGAGGATCTATATTTAACCTTGTGTAATACCCTAGATGCAGTCGCACCCCTAAAAACAAAAAACATTTGTCACAAGAAACTAGCTCCCTGGTATACAGAAAATACCCGAGCCCTGAAGCAAGCCTCCAGAAAATTGGAACAGAAATGGCGCTCCACCAAACTGGAAGTCTTCCTACTAGCTTGGAAAGAAAGTACAGAGCAATATCGAAGAGCCCTCACTGCTGCTCGATCATCCTATTTTTCCATCCTAATTGAGGAGAATAAGAACAATCCAACATTTCTATTTGATACTGTCGCAAAGCTAACTAAAAAGCATTCCCCAAGAGAGGATGCCTTTCACCTCAGCAGTGATGAATTCATGAACTTCTTTGACGAAAAGATCATGATCATTAGAAAGCAAATTACGGACTCCTCTTTGAATCTGCGTATTTCTCCAAAGCGCAGCTGTCCTGAGTCTGCACAAAACTGCCAGGACCTAGGATCAATGGAGACACTCAAGTTTTGTTATCCTATATCTCTTGACACATTCATGAAAATAGTCATGGCCTCTAAACCTTCAAGCTGCATACTGGATCCTATTCCAACTAAACTACTGAAAGAGCTACATCCTGTGCTTGGCCCTCCAATGTTGAACATAATAAATGGCTCCCTATCCACTGGATGTGTACCAAACTCACTAAAATTGGCAGTAATAAAGCCTCTCTTGAAAAAGCCAAACCTTGACCCAGAAAATGTAAAAGACTATTGGCCTATATCGAATCTCCCGTTCCTCTCAATTTCTTTTGAAAAAGCTGTGGTGCAGCAACTCACTGCCTTCCTGAAGACAACAAATGTATACGAAACGCTTTAGACCCCATCATAGCACTGAGACTGCACTCGTGAAGGTGGTAAATGACCTTTTAATGGCGTCAGACCAAGGCTCTGCATCTCTCCTCATGCTCCTAGACCTTAGTGCTGCTTTTGACACCATCGATCACCACATTCTTTTGGAGAGATTGGAAACCTTAATTGGTTTACACTGACAAGTTCTTGCCTGGTTTAGATCTTATCTGTCGGAAAGATATCAGTTCATCTCTGTGGATGGTTTATCCTCTAACAAATCAATTGTACGTTTCGGTGTTCCTCAAGGTTCCGTTTTAGGACCACTATTGTTTTCACTATATATTTTACCTCTTGGTGATGTCATTCGGAAACACAATTTTAACTTTCATTGCTATGCGGACGACACACAGCTGTACATTTCGATGAAACATGGTGAAGCCCCAAAATTGCCTACCCTGGAAGCCTGTGTTTCAGACACAAGGAAGTGGATGGCGGCAAATGTCTTACTTTTAAACTCGGACAAAACAGAGATGCTAGTTCTAGGTCCCAAGAAACAAAGAGATCTTCAATTATCGAATCGATCTGACAATTAATCTTGATGGTTGTACAGTCGTCTAAAAAAAAACAACTGTGAAGGACCTCTGCATTTTTCTGGACCCTGATCTCTCTTAGACGAATATATCAAGAATATTTCAAGCACAGCTTTTTTCCATCTTCGTAACATTGCAAAAATCAGAAACCTTTTGTCCAAAAATGATGCAGAAAAGCTAATCCATGCTTTTGTCACTTCTAGATTAGCCTACTGCACTGCTCTACTCTCCGGCTACCCGGATAAAGCACTAAATAAACTTCAGTTAGTGCTAAACACGGCTGCTAGAATCTTGACTAGAACCAAAACATTTGATAATATTACTCCAGTGCTATCGCCTCTACACTGGCTTCCTGTTAAGGCTAGGTTGATTTGCTCCTACCTATCGCTCCGATTTGGTCCTGCTGTACATACCTACACGTAAGCTACGGTCACAAGCCGCAGGTCTCCTTATTGTCCCTAGAATTTCTAAGCA